GAGAGAGAGAGAGAGAGAGAGAGAGAGAGAGAGAGAGAGAGGAGAGAGAGAGAGTATTCCTCATTACCAGTCATAAATTTATTTATTTTCTATTTTTATCAAAATTTCAAATTCAGGTTTTGGGCCATAATGCGAACCAACCGGTTTATGGGATTTTGAGAAATCATGTTTTTAAATTTAATATTTTTCCGAATAAATGTGGGGCTGCTTAAGCATATAGTTTCTTGATGCATATGGTGTATAATTCAAATTTTTTCTTTTTCTCAAATTTTATGTCATTATTTGCATTTTTAAATGAAAATATCTTTTTTTAGGTTTTTTTTTTAGTGTCATAACATCACAATTTATTTTTAATCTTATGATATGGACGTGTTTTCTAATAATTTTTTGACTCATTTTTATTTAATGTTACAATGTTATAATATCATAGTTAATAATTATCTGTTAATAACCAAATATTGTATTTTTTCTTATTTTATTTATGAATTACATGATGTATTTTTTTTTAAGTTGTAGATACGGGGACTTATGACTTCACTGAGGATATGACATTTAATATAGCATATTGGGGAACCAGGATTCTTATAGCTAATCCCAATTAATTGGGAAAAAACTAAAATGATGATTTTTTTACATAGTTGCAAGTATGATTTTTAAAAATTAGATGACATTATTAGACAATTTAAGTTTATTCTTATTTGTTACTATAATTATAAAACATAAAGTAATAATTTCAATTTCAATATATAGTATTATAGTCGGTCAAGTTACGATAATTTTGGATGAGTAGAGAGAATTAACAAATGTTTGATGTGATACTAATTTAACTTTATAAGGACTATTATTTTTTTAAAATCTTATAATAGGGAAGTGTTTTTTAGGAATTTTTTTTAATAATATTTAATGTAATATTATAATTAATAATTGTATAGATATTTAGATTGGGAAACCATGTTTCAATATTCATGTATTTATGCAAAATAACGAAAGTACATAATACAAAGCCCTCAATATTTTGAAAGTAAAAAAAAATCTATTTTTAGTAATTTTTAAAATTGTTTTGAAGCCAAAATTGGCCCATCTAGTTGACTCTTCGATCCGAATTAACCATCCGACACAGTTTTTAGTGGCTGATCCGGGTCACAAATTTGTATTTTTTAACCGTGCTCACACCTAATATCTATCGTTGAATCTATCCCTCATGCTTACCTCGCATAGGGAGATGAGTCGCCTCCTATTTAAAAGGTTACACTAGCGGGGAAAATATCTCTTTATTTTTTAATTTTAACTTCTCTATCTCTTCGGATCCAAAGATGAAAAATATTACTTGGAAATGAATGACCTCCATTTTTTTCTATCTTGCAACCCCTTGAATCTCTTTTTTTATGAATTTTTGACCCAATAAAAATTAAAATGAAGCTTGTTTTGCAAAGGCTTCGTTTGTGTTTTTTTAGTAGAGAGAGAGAGGGAATGATCTCTTATTGTCGCTTTACCTTTACGAGAAAAGCTTTTATGTCATTATTGGGAGCTGGGTTTTTCTTCTCTCTCACCAACATGGTAGAGAGAGAAGATTTTCTCTCATGGTGGGGTTACAGATATTTCTTCTCTCATCAACTTGGGGGAGAGAGAGGTGCTTCTTTCATGTTGAGATTGTGGGTAGTTCTTCTCTCTCAATGTGGTAGAGAGAGAAGAGGAAGAACTTCTTTCACGAGTGGGTTATGGGTGCTTCTCTCTCCTCAAGATGTTAGAGAGAGAAGAACGAGAAGAGAGAGAAACAATTCTCTTGAGCACTTCTGTGGAGTCTGGTCTGATGGGTGGTGGATCTCTCTCCTTGATGAGAGGAAATTTTTCCGACCCCAAAAATGTGAGACTTTGAGGTGTCTTGGCTTGAATCCGAGATGGTTTGGGGGTGAGAGGTGGGTAGAGAGAGAGTGAGAGGTTGATGAGTTTTTCTTGAAGACAGAAAGCGCAAATGCCAACTGGGGGTGGGTAGAGAGAGTGGAGTTTGGCGGGGGGGGGGGGGTTTGGCTCTGAGTTCCACCACCCTGAAATGCCTTTGCCATCTAGAGAGAGAGTAATGAGTTCCACCACCCTGAAATGCCTTTGCCATCTAGAGAGAGAGTAATTTGCAGTTAAAGATAGAATGAAGAAAGAGAGTAATCTTTAGTTAAAGAGAGAATGAAGAGAGAGAGAGAGTTATTTGCAGTTAGAGAGAATGAATTAGGAGTTAGAGAGAGCGAGTAATTTGTAGTTAGAGAGAGAATGAATCAGGAGTTAGAGAGAGTGAACTCGGAGTTGGTTCAGGGAAGAAAATCCATCTACCAGCATATATGAGAGATACAATCACGAAATCATGGCTGTCAGAGAACAGTGAGACATGGAGCGATGGAATGAGAGATCATTCCCCTAGAAGCAAAGGACCCAAGGATGAGAGATTATTCCCTTTTTCTCTCTCTCAAAAAAAACCACAAACGAAACCTTTGTAAGATAAGATGTAATTCTAATTTTTAGTGGATAAAAAATTCATCAAAACAGGGATTTAAGAGGTTGCAAGATAGAAAAAATGAAAGTCATTTGCCTCCAAATAATATTTTTCATCCTTGGGTTCAAGGAGATAGAGAAGTTAAATTTAGGGGGTAAAGAGATATTTTTCCTTAAGTAAAAGCAATTTCCTGTTGATCACGGTTTCTGTGAGTCCATGTAGAAACGAGTCGCCTCTTAAAAATGGTTGAGCCGATTTCGTGGGTCAACACATTTAGCCTCCTCCAGACTCGATTGTGTTGGCTTGGAAACTCTTTGTTTCACCTGAAGAACTGTTATTTTTTTGGGTAGTTTAGTGGGGATAGGGTCCCATACTTGTGGTAAGAATGGAACTCAAGATATTATACTCTAGCGAGATTTAAATTTGGACTATCCAGCTAATAAATAACGAATTTTGGGTTTTTATAAGCTCAAATATTGGTGTGCCTACTTTCACTGTCATTGTTTACAGCTAAATCTGTCGGGATCTCAGATGAATCCTCACAGAATTTATGCTTTCAATGAGTTAAATATAAAGATAGGTAGAGATGAGTGGGATCTGTCAAATTACGATTAAATAAGAAACCAGATCTGGGAAGATTAAGGTTCTTTAAAAACCATCAGAAGAACCGACTCAAGATCGCGAAAATCCTATCAGAAAACCCTAAAACTAAATGAATCTAAAAAGTTTAAAAAATAAAAGGACTTACCTAGCTAGGCCAACCGGCTCGACACACTCGAAGATGCTGGCCGTATCAGAACATCGAGTTGTTTATACCGTGCTACTTCACTTTTCTTCTTGAAGACACCTAGGTCTAGCGCCCTAGGGCTTGGGTTTATCAATGAAATTGAAGGATTAAACTTTGAAGAGAATTTGGCCAGGGTTTCTTGCACCTAGGGCTAAGGTTTCCTAGATCTAGAAGGTTACACGTAGGGCTAGGGTTTCCTAGATCTAGAAGGTTAGGGAGGTTAGGTTTTAGGAATTATTTACTTATTTATTTATTTATTTATTATTATTATTTTTTTTAACCTAGGGGGTTTATGGGTTTCTCTAATTTTTGGGGAATTTTTGGATCTATTTTTCTGGTATTTTTCTCCCTCAATTTGTATTTCTTGAAAATAGGAGAAGGTCAAGGGTAATTCTAAAAATTTTAAAAAATAGTATTAGTTATCCTAAAAATATTTCTAATTATCCTAGGGAAATTTGGGTAAAAAACATGTTTATTAGAAAGTCAAAAATTTCCACAACAGAGCTTCCATAAAATTCTGGGATTTTCGTAGGGACCATTCTGAAATTTCAGCTAAACAATATTTTTCGGACCATAACTCTCAAACGGTGAATTGAACTCAGGTGATTCTTAGACCGTTGGAAATCTTATGAACTCATCTTCAATTTGGAATCATATTTTAATATAATTTGGTTGATTTTAGTCGGGTCTATGGGGCTAGGACTTTTGGGTGTCGATTCTTAGTTTCAAGGTGTCATATCGATGTCCGGGTTGATTTCCTATGTTTATTGGGCTCAGAACTATCTAGAATGATTATTTTAAGGCTTAACTAGGTATACAGTTTTCGTTTTATCTCTAAAAAAGATATTAGGGTCTCTTAGGTTGTTGTGGTCCTAAGATTTAGGAATTCAAGAAAGATTAACCAATTCAAATAATGGGGGGTCTACAATCATATATCTATAGAAATACAAAAGATTAGTTTGAGGGACATAAAATTATGGAAACAACCTTAAAACTTAGGTATTTTGATCATTGTTTATCATTTAATTATTTTTAAAATTTTTGTTCAAATACATGAAGGCGGCAAGAGCTGAGAAGCATTGGATGCCCTAAATTTCAACTTCCACTTACAAAAAATTAAAATTAGGAAAAATGATGTATATCCCCTGAACCACATTTTTCAGGCATATATCCCCAGTACTTTTTAAACCGCATAACTAATCCAATTACTATTTATCCTTCTAGTCACCTTGCAAGGAGGAAATAGTTCTGTTTTAGATGAAAATACCCCAGATTCTTTGCCATCCATTACAAGGATTTCAAATTTTATAGAGTTTCTCTCCCTGAAACTTGAATTTTGAGATTAGTTGCCCAAAAAAAATTGAAATTTGAGATAATTTATCCATTTAAACATTTTACTATATTCTCTTAACGCAAAAACCTTTTACCCTACGGTACCTATAAATATGGATTTCTTGATGTGATGTCTCTCGACAAATTTCGAGATAATCTCTCTCTAAAATTGCAAATTAAAAAAAAGAGAGAATCATGGGTGTATACAAGGGCTATTTTTGGCCAAAACAAAGCTATGCTTTTCCATGGTTGCAAAAATAAAGAGCAATTAGGTTACTTGTGTGATTTTAAAAAATATTGTCCAGGGAGATAATTATAATTTTCCCTTAAAAGTCAAAATTCATTGTGCGACCTAAAGAAGTGTCAATGATTGTAAAATATAAAATCCACGAGGCTGAGAATACGTGACATCGATAATCCAATAATTAGCTCAAGTAATTGTTTACAACATAATTCGGAAGAATAAATAAGGGATGAAATACCCCAATCACTGGAAGAAATCAAGATCAAACCACGACCAAACTTTACATAAAAGAATTCGGAAAAATAAATAAGGAATATGGAATACCCCAATCACTGGAAGAAATCAACAGCAAACCACCACCAAATTTTACATAAAAGACAATTTTCCCTATGTTGATTTTAAGTTACCTTTAACACCATAGGTATATGATTATGGTCAGCTATGAGAAAGAAGAAAGATGAAATACAGGATATTAGAAGGGGTGCGGTTTCTATAAGGTTGCAACCTTAAACAATCGAATTAAGGTCCACCTCCAAATTTTATTATATCATGTAATTTTGTTGTAAAAAATTCTAAGGATTATTTTAAAATTTATTTTTATATCTAATTAAAAAATTTTAAACTCCAAAAATGGTTAAAATCAAGGAGATCTGTAAACATATGAAAATCTTCAAAATGGATGGTCTAGATAATGAGTTATAAGATGCATCATTTCTGAGACTCAAATTTTTTTTTTTTTTTAATATTCGTCCATCTCGATGTTGAGATGATCAAATAGATGGTTTTACAATATTAAAACAACCTTTCCAATAGATTTTTGAGGTACATATGTAATTATACATTTTAAGGTTGCTACCTTATATAAACTTTTCCCTATTAGAAGAATAAGTGATAACAGTGATTAAGCTGGTGATTATCGAGGCCAGATCTCGCCTTGACAATGTTTATTTTTAAACATCAAGCAATAAAATGCTTGAGACATGCCATGATATTCATAATATCAATTAGTAAAATGATCTTATGTAGATTTTCTGGTTCTTCAATCATACAAATTCAGACAACTCGCGTTCATGGGGTGAAAGACATGACCAAGTTCTACGTCCACCACCTCTATTAGGACCTCAGGCAAGTGCATATACACAGCCCAGTCGCCAGCTACCAGTGCACTCGGCATAGGCATCACATATCCTGATGTTCCGCCCCACGGGAAATGGTATGACCCAAAAAACGGGCCTCCCCCAACCGAAATCAACATCACTCACCGGAAATCGAAGCCCCGAAGAAACCAGCACTGCGGGCTTCTCATCCTCATTCTGGCAGTAAATTGTTGCTAACACAGGCTTTGGCCTGTGCATCTCGACCCAATCGACCAAACCTCGAAAAAACTCATGGTCTGTGATACCAATCAAGCATTCGTGCACGAGACCGGCCACATGGTTAAATGGCATGGCTTTCAGTTCTGAGGCCTCTGCTTCCTTGAAAGGCATTGCTAACACATTGCCAAAATAAACAGACATGCATGGTCCTAGCCTGGACCGACCATCCACTACAATCCCCAGCCTACATTTCTTGTTGGGTTCTGATGCAAGAATTTGCCAAACTAAGGCGGCAAAGGACTCGAGTTTTGTTCTATGTTGTCCATTAGAGCTGGCCGTGGCTTGGAGAAGATGGATATCCTGGGCTTTCATGTAGTATATGCGACAACAGAGACGGTCATTAGAGAGTATGGAGATCGGCAGCAAGGATGTCTCCATGAACATTGGATCGTGGGACAAGGTATAAGATCCCGGATGTCAGGGATTAAGGAGGGATCTTCGGAAACTTGGAAGCATGGAGGAGGGTTTGGATTGAGCAGTTTGAGCTCATGAGATGAGGAACATGTTGGCCGAGTAAGCGTCTGCTACACGATGATCGAAAGTGCAGGCCACCACTATGCTCCCACACTTGAGTTTGGTCAACTAAATGAGAAAAATCTTATGCGTGAGTCTCAGAGAGGAACTTTTTTGGATTTTGGAATATGTTTTGGAGAAGTTCATCAATGTGATTAAGAAAAATTTGGAATATGTTTTGGAGAAGTTCATCAATGTGATTAAGAAAAATTTAAAGAGAAATCTGATGGATTTGGTCTCATTATGACCATCAATCGAAATTTGTCAAAAGCACACCTGAAATATCGATTATTTAACATTGGAAAATGGTACGATAGGGCGGGAGCCCTATCAAAGTAAGTAAAGCCTTACCTCATAACTCATCTAGAATTATAATTCAAGTACCTCATAAATCTTTACGTCAAACATCTCGACTTGAACATTATGGTGTGAAAAAAAGAAGAAGAAGGATTTCAAGCTCTAAAAATAGTGGATATTGTAATATTTTATCTAAAATTGTCTATTTCGCTCTAAAAATATGTTTTCACAGATCCGCAAGATCTGTACTATTTTTTAAATTTCAAATTTATTGTTGGTGTTGAAAATTGATTTTAGAACCATCATGGAAGTTTCCGTCTCCAAAAATGCTTTTCGGACGAGGATTTGAAGTGACGCTTTATTTTGTTTTCATAAAGCCTACGCTTTATAGAGACTTCGATCATTTAACATTTTACCTATTTATGAAGAGAAAAAGTTCATATAAGGTCGCAACCTGAAAATGTATAATTAAAGTTGCACCTCAAAAATCTATCATAAATGGTTGTTTGGATATTGGAAAACTATGTATTGGAAAACTATGTAATTGTTGACTTCGAGATTTATGAATATGAAAAGAAAAAAGATTTCGAGTCCATGGAATAGTATATCTTAAAACACATTATCAGGATCGCCCATTTTTTAGATTTTCATGTGTTTATAGATCTATTTGATTTGAACCTTTTTTTAGAATTTTAAAATTTTAAAATTATAGACGAAAATAGATTATCTAGCCATCCTAAAAATTTTTGATATCAAAATCATTTTAATGATAAATTTTAGAGATGCTTTTTAATTTTGGAATGTTACACCTCAAATGTCAACTATTATAACTCACAATCATGTGTACATTGATGGGCCGAAGTAGTTTTCATCATTTTATCCAAGGTTCCAACAAGTTCAAGAATAACATATCTATAGTCGTTTTATGTTGATGGATGACGGAGATTAATCGTACCCGATGGTGTAATCTCCACTGTTCATCATAAAAAAACAGATGGTGGATGCCTTAATTGGGTAGCATATACCATACTAACATGGTTTATGATGTATTTTTCCATAGTAATAGACTCAAGACATAAGTGACCACAGTGTAGGTGTCACTTTTTCAGTTTCATTCTTACCTTGTGATTTACAGAGAAAAATATGACATACGGGTCGGTACCCTCTTGATCTACCCAGAAAAATATTATATAATTTCCGAGTAATGCTTTTTGAATGGGAAACATTTAGCCGTCATTGCTTGTTTATTTATTAGAAATAATGGGACTGTAATTGCCGTATTTTTCAAGATCTTCCTGCCTTCTGGTTTTGTTTCATTTCCTATCCAATTAAACATATATTGCAGCTTGCTCTCTCTCTCATAGAGCAGCTCTCGCTCTAAAATCTTGTTCTTTCTCTTATCTCCCCTTCTCTTTTTTTGGTCTCTTTCTATTGTTTCTCTATAATCATGCTTGATTGCCCCTGTTCCATCCATGGAGGATTCATCCAATATCACCAGAAACAAACGAGAAATGCCTTCAAATCCACAAGGAAATAGTGATGACTCTTCTCTTGACACAGGAATGCCACCAGAAGTGCTTCTTTGACTGATTAAATAAATATTTTGATGACATGTTACTTTGACGGAGAATTCAGAGCGCGCCACGACTCCTGTTGCTGGTTCACTAGAAAAATTCAGAGATAAAACAGGGTTCTTTATAGGGTTTGGAAGAGTCTAGTTCATGGTTCTCGCTCTGCATCATCAAAAGTACACGAATCCGGAGACGTTTCAGAAGAGAGGGAAAACCCAATTGCGGTTTCTCTCTCTACTCCACTGGCTACAACTCCGCATGTGATGAACACTTACCGCCTCCAAGTTGTTTTTATAGGGTGTGGTTTTTACAAGGTTGCAACTTAAACCATCCAATTACGGCACTCCTCCGGAACATATCTGGTTTTGGTGAAAAAAATTCTCAAAATCTATTTTTATATCCAACTATCAAATTTTAAACTCTAAAAATAATTAAAATAAAAAATATTTATAAACATATAAAAATCTTGAAAATAGATGGTCTAGATAATGTATCACAAGATGCATTATTTTTTAGACTCAAAATCTTTATTTATTTATTTCATATTCATGCTTCGAGATGATCAATTAGAAGTTTTTTCAACATTAAAATAACCTTTTTATGTAGTTCTACATTTAAGATCGTAACCTTATATGAACCTTCTTCTCTTGTATATTCAATTTGTTATTCCCCAACTAAAATTATCATCTCAAGAAGACAATGAAATACCAATGTGGAAATAAATCATTATCAGGGTTACCATGCGGTCAGGGTTAACTTGAAAAAGAAAAAAAAATAGAGATCGGTCTTTTCAAGTATTAAGGGCTTATTTTCGGGTTATTTCAATATAAGGGTATAAAAACCCGATTTGCAGGTAAATTTCCCAAAGTATTTTGACTTTGGGAGTGAGAATCAATGAAGGCTTACCTGAACACACAAGACTCCCCATTTCTTAGTAGGAATTATGTTTCCTTTAACGCTTTCATCAGGCTTATGCAAATCCAAATCTTTGAGCTCAATGTCCGCACTTGCCTCCGAGAACTCCACACCCTTGTTACCGCATAGAATCTCAGGCTCCTTCTCACCATTGTTCACCACCTGACAACACAAAGTAACTTACTAAAACCTCAGACAAAGACTTTTTAAGCCTACCCCTTATCTCACTGTACCCATGCTTGAGAATTGGTTGTTTATAACAAAATCAATAGGAGGAAGAAGTAAGTCTAGGTTAGATAGGGGAAGGCGAGATTCTTGCAGGGGCAATGCCGGAACCACGGCATCCTGTTCAATTATTTCAACCTGAAAATTGGCCATGGAGAGAGCCACCGTTTAAATGTTGGCGCAAGATTCAAATGTTTGTTGTTCCGTGTCTTGATGATGCAATGGAATTGGTTTAAATAAGCATTTTTTCACATTTTTGGCACACATGCATCTGTCTCCCTCCCTCCCAGTGAGAGAGAGAGTGTCAAACAAGAAAGACGGACAACCATGACATGTCCTTTTGTACGTGGGGTAAAAGGAGGTGATGTCTGTGGAACCTCTAAACCCGACGGGTAAATTTTTGGCAAATGACAAAAACAAAAACACCAACAAGTAAGGAAAATAAAACAGAAAAATGAACTCTTGCAAATATGCTTAAAGAGCATAAAAATTACTTGAAAAATATTAAAAATACCTAAAAAGCATTAAAAATATCCAAAAAACATTAAAAATACTTAAAAATCATTAAAAATACTTAAAAAGCATTAAAAATACTCATTATAACCCACGCCCTAAACCTGGATGAACCCTTTGACCATTAATCGGGCTCTGCACTTGTCTAGTTCTATTGGTCTTTCTGTTTACAAATGTAATAACTACGTTTACGGATAAAGATGATCGATATTTTTTCCACTAATCGATAAAAAAAAAAACCAAAATTTGTCTTTTTTTTCCTTGCACACTCTCCTCTACCTACATTACATACACCATGAGAAAAAACACTCAAAAGAGCACCCACTTTTCTCCCTATTTTCCCTTTTTAAAATAGAGTGTCATATAGAAAAGGAAACTGCAAAAATTACGTACGTGAGACTGCGTCTATTCCTTAACTTTATGAAAATTTATCCTCAGGTACGTACGTGGGACTCATCTTTTCCTTAACTGTATAAAATTTTTCCTTATTTATAAACCCACATGTCTATCTTAGTCGCTTTGGAACCTCATCTCCACGGCACTAACTCGTATCCTCCACTTGTTCCTGGCTTTCTTTTTCCTCCCTGGCCGTCGCCATGCGCGCGTCGGGTCTCATTCCTTTTTATGGGGGCTTTGCATGTGCGATGTAGGACAACGTAAAGTCTTTTTAATGGACCCCGACCCAACTCGGGACCCAAGGGATAGATCCCATCTGGGTCTACGTATAGGTCAAAAAATTAGGTCATGCGGGTCCGGTTTAGATTCAATCAACATCGGATAATATTTTTCGTGTCCCAATATATAAAATATATTTAATTATAGTTAAATAGATATTTTTTAATTTTTTCGTAGGTTCCCGCACTATATTTTCAGTTCTGGGTTCGGATCCCATATCAATTTTTTGGGTCCGGGTCCCCACTGCTTCTCACAACGACTTCTATGGGGTGAATCAATGGGGTGTCTCTACTATCTGCCGCATCTACGGGGTGAGTAAATGGGGCGAATAGATGAATATGGATTAAGATAATAACACTAACTCATGGGATATTTTTTTTAAAAAAACTGACACCAACTCATGGAGCACCTTTAGTCGCAGAATCTACTACTTCAAGTTGTTATATCTATTATTCATCACTACAATCATAATTTATTTGTTTATTTTTCTATTACATCGAAACATGATTACAAATTCAGTCTTTGGACCATAATGCGAAACCAACCGGTTTGCGGGATTTTGAGAAATCATGTTTAACAAAATTTATGATTTTCTGAATAAATGTGGGGCTTTTTAAGCGTATAGTTTATTGATGCATATTGTGTGTGGTTCAATCTTTTTCTTATTCTTTCTCAAAATTTATGTTATTATTTTCCATTTTCTTAGTGAAAATATTGTTTCTTTGAAGAGTTTGTTTTTAATGTCATAACAAGGGGTTTTACATTTATTTTAAAAGGAAGTGATTTCTAATAATTTTTTTGAGTCATTTTTTTACTAATGTTATAATATAATAATTAATAATCATACATTAATAATCAAATATTATATTTTATTTATTAATTTATTTATATTTAAATTACATGATATATTATTTTTTGTTATAGTTGTAAATAATGTTTTTTTAAAATTAGATGTCATTACAAGACATTTTAAATATAATAAAATAATTATGAATATAAAGTAATAATTCCAATCTAAGTGTATAATATTAGAAAAAAGTTTATATAAGGTTGCAACCCTGTAATTGATCATCTCGGCGGCAAGAAAATTAATTTAAAAAAAAAAAAAAGATTTCGAGTCCTAAAAATATTGTATCTTGTAACACATTATTTGGACTGTCTATTTTCAAGATTTCAAGCATATATATCTACTTGATTTGTAACATTTTTGGAGTTTAATATTTTATAATTAGAGATGAAAATAAATTCTCAAGCCATCCTAAGAATCTTTGATACTAAGATTATATTTATAACAAAATTTGGAGGAGCGCCTTAATTTGATTGTTTAAGGTTGCAACCTAATACAAACCGTACCCACAGTATTATAGTTGGTTAATTGTGATAATTTTGGTTGAGTAGAGAGAATTAACAAATGTTTGATTGGATATTAATTTTACTTTATAAGGGGGTTTTGTTTTTTAAATATTATATATGAAAGTATTGTTTAGTATTTTTTAATCAAGTCTAATGTAATGTAATATAATATTATATTATAATTAATAATTATGCAGATATTCAAATAAAAAAACAACGTTTCAATATTCATGTATTTGTGAAAAATAATGAAAGTACATAATATAACTACTACAATTGTTTTGAAACTAAAAAACCTATTTTTAGTGATTTTTTTAATTTTATTTTAAAGTCAAAACCGGTCGATTCTCCGATTCAGATTGCCAATGTACCGATCCGACACGATTTTTAGATAGTCGATCCGGATCACCAATCCGTTTTCCTTTTAGCCTTGCTCATACGTAACATCTATCGTTCATCCTTACTTCAAAGTTCAAACATAGGGAGATGAGTCGCTTCCTATTTCCAGTCACTAGTTTTAAGTAAAAACAATTTACTTATATCCACCATTAGAGGGTGAAAATGAACAATGGATGTGCGCACTCAATATCACACACTTTTAAGTATAATATCTGGAATAGGATGTTGCATGATATATAGCATGGTTTTAATAAAAACCAGTTTAACTTGGAAGAGCCCAAGTTGAACCGGGACCGGGAGCCACCTAGTCTGCGTCCCGTTATGAATCGGGAATAGCACCTAAGGATTTATAAACAACGTTAGAGAGAGTTTTATTATAATAAAACTAAAGTTTTTAGAAAAATTTGAATTTTCTATTCCTTCTTTAAACATTTAAGTTCTTTAAATTTTTTTACATTTTTTGTTTGATCGAGTCAATTGAACCAACTCTCTGACTCAGCCATTTTGAGTAGAGCCAACAAGTTCAACCACCAAAGTTTTTAAACACTGGTGTGTACACAAATATTACTTGCTATATATAAAGGCATGATTAGATGTTACATGTAAATACTTCATGCATTACACTCTCTTGCAATAATTATTAACCTAAAAGTCACTGCATATGCCTGTCTTGCAAAAATTATTAACCTAAAAGTCCTTAAAAAAGCGTGTGGGCACTTCTCACTCGGAAAGTGGGGCTTAATTCGTGGTCCAAACCAACTCCAAATTTGGACCTTGCATTTGTTGTTGGAAAATCGGTTGGGTGGAAAAGGGGCAAAAAGATATTATAGGAAAAAAGAAGATTGAATCTTTCTTGTTTTTGGAACGCAAAAGATAATATTTGCCCCTTTGCAATATTGTAATAGGTGTGCATAAGAAACAAAAAAAGTCACTTTTGATGTTCCAAAGCTCTATGCACCCGAACTTGAAGCCCACAATAGACATCAGAGTCTTGTGTTTTTTTCGAGAGAGAAAGAGAGGAAAGCAAGTAGAGATAGAGATGAGTGCTCTATTATGCTACCTAGAATATCGCAGAAAATGGTGTGAGAAAAAGTATAAGAAAAGAGTTGTCGGAGTCTTAATCCTAAGGGAAAAGGGACCGATGTCCAAGATGCTGCCCATTTACCGTATGAGTGGTTATATGCGCCACCAACAATCACAAGTTACATGGCCAAAATTTAAAAAACATTTTTTCTTGAACTTTATTACACCGAATTTCATAGTTAACGATTAAGGGCGACTATGACCATCAATGTTCACATAGTATAGGATCCAGTTTTAATTGGGTTTAAGAAAGTTCTATTAAATATTTAAAATAACAATCAATGGTCACTGGTTACTATAAGAGTGATGAGCACATCTGATACAGGCTCTCATAATTCTCAACTACAGATTAAATAAGAGTGGAGCAGTGTTCTATACTGTTCATTTTAGTTAGAAGTTATAAGTTTAGCACTTTTTAAGATAATCTCGAATATATATGCTCTAATTAAATTGGATAGAAGTTATAACAACCTAACTTCCATTTATGCTTTTTATAAACTATTATTGGGTAGCAATTCGATGTTATCGCTTAAATTGATTTGAATTAAATTTTGCAGCTCAAAACCATGTGAACAAATATTGGGGTACGAACCTTACTCTTTTAGAGCCAACCCAAATAGTTGCGAAAAGACTGCAAAGATGATGATAATGAACCTTACTTATAGATAACGTTTCCTGTTGACATTTGCAAAATCATACTCATAATTTCACGTGCCAAGGATAAATCATGAGGAGGTATAATTGCTTGACCTAATATGAGATTAATTGGGCACATTCATATTCCATAGCTTCCTAAGCTGTGAATTTTGAAATTTTGGACACCACTACCTTTGGTGGAAATTTATGGTCCTGATGCACTTGGGCATAGGATCATTCCCCCCCTGATTTTTCAATAATAAATTTATAAGTTTACACTAATTATTAAGCAAGATGAATTCAGTAAATGTCTGTCCACCTCAATAAATACTTTAAGAATCCAGTCCATCGCATTCGAACAATTTTAATTATTTTATTGACTTAAAATGGGACCCTCCAACACACTATTTGCAAGCTCCAAGACGGCTAGTTGGTTCTTTAGGGTTTTTTTTCTAGGGAAAATTACTGAAAACCCTTAAGATATACTTTCTAAACACTCTACCCCACCCTAAACTTTTTTCAATTTTTTTTCTTAAAAACCATCTTTTCTAACTAATACCCCCAACTTAAAAAAAATAAAAATAAAAATAAAATTATCCCCCCTTTTTAACTTCTACATTAAAAAAGGCATTTGCGTAGGCAGTTCGGCGTTTGCGTAGGCAGTCCGGCATCTGCGTAGGCAGTCCGGTATTTTGTGACCGTCGATTCGAAGTTTGCATAGGTCGTCCGGCATTTTGTGGGTGCGGTCTGGCATTTTGCGAACTGTAAGAAAATCACTCCGGCGTTTTGATGCAGTTGTCCGACAGTGTATGTGCGCGATCCGGCGACATGTTTACTATAATGTGGGCAGTCTGGCGATTTGAAGTAGTACTCCGGCAATTTACTTATTGGAATGGGGTCAGTCCGGCGTTTACAATGTGTGGTTTGGCATGTGTTTCTGAAATGATGTTAAGTCCGGCATTTCACAGCTTCGCTCCAACGTTATGGTCGATCTATCCAACGCTGGGAAGATGCAGTGTGGCAATATCTTACTTGCGGTCCGACGTTACAAAACTTCGCTTCAGTGATTTTACTACTGGAGACGTAAGTCAGGCATTTCATGGTCTCGGTCCGGCATTTTAGATGCATGAGTAGGGGGGTCCGGTGTTAGTAGTCTACGGTCTAGCGTATCACTGCCTAAATTAGCAGTCCGGTATTATAGAAATGCAATTCGGCATAAGTCGTAAGTCTAGCAAATAACAACCGCGGTCCGGTGAAAGTATTATTGCGGTCTGTCCGGCCAAATGATTTGTTCGTATGGTGAAGATATGAGAAAGGGTATTTTCATCAAAAAAGATATCGCTTTTTGAGTTGGAGGTATTAGTTAGAAAAGATGGTTTTTGAGAAAAAAAATTAAAACAAATTTAGGGTAGGGATAGAGTATCTAAAAAATATATTTTAAAAGTTTTCCCAAAAAAAATGAAAGACAGCGGTTGAGCTGGTGAAAACTGGTAGGAAATTGGGAGTTTTAGACATAGAGTGTGTTCCAACTATGATTGAACCAAAAATTAAAAAATTGTTGAGCCGATTTTGTAGGTCATCACATTGAGCCTCCTCTAGACTCGATCGTATTGGCTTGGAAAGCCATCGTTTCACCTGAAGAATTGCTAATTTTTTTTGGGTAGTTTTGGCGAGCTTTAAATTTGGACCATCCAGCCAATAAATGACGGATTTTGAAGAATTGCTAATTTTTTTTGGGTAGTTTTGGCGAGCTTTAAATTTGGACCATCCAGCCAATAAATGACGGATTTTGGGTGTTTATAAGTTCAAATATTAGGGGGTGGTAATGGAACTGGACTCAACCCGGGACCCGTTGGGAAGACCCGCCTCGGGTCCGGGTATGGGTCTAGCATTTGGACCCAGTGGGTAGGGTCTTGGTCCATCTCTAAGACCCCAAATAGATGTGGGTTATGTACGGGTTTCAGTGGATCGGACCCGAAATTATTATAAAAATATATGTATATATTAATTTTATAGTTCTTTTCACACACTTTCTCTCTTCCTAACCCTATTTCACTCTCTCTCTTCCAAATCCTATTTCACTCTATCGCTCTTCCAAACCCTATTTCTCTACCATGTGAAAGCCCATTTTGGATTTTTCTCTCTCTATTTTCCCTTGCAAAACCCCACCTCTGAGTCTCTCTCCCCAGCGACTGTGAGAGCTCAACTCTCTCTCTCTCTCTCCCCCTATTTATCTTCTCTTAGGCTTGCCAAACCTTATTTTTCTTCCAAGCTCGATGTTTGATCACCAAAAGGGCAAAGTTTAATTTTATAGAGTTTTTCTACCTAAAACTTGAATTTTGAGATAGTTTTTCTCTCTCTTAAAAAGTTCATAGAGTTTCTTGTTTAAAAAACTTGAAATTTATGGTAATAATTGTTTTTTAAAATGATATCTCTCTAGGAATTTTGAGATAATCTGTCTCTGACAATTCAAATTTCAAGTTTTTAGAGAGAGAATCGCGAGTTTATACAAGGGCTATTTTTGTCCAAAACGAAGCTATTGTCTTCAAGGGTTGCAAAAATGAATAGCAGTTAGGTTAGTTATGTGATTTAAAGAAGTATTGTCCAAGGAATATATAATTTGTCCAGGGAGGTATATATGAGCAATGATTTCATGTAACCGTTGTATAGTAATATGATGTAATAATATTTAAAAACCATCTTATGATCATTTGTTTGATCCAAAAGTTGAAATATACACTATTTTCATTTTAATGAACAAACGTAAAAAAATAAAAAATTGAAAACACAACCTAGAAAGTATTTTTTTAGCCCAATTAACATAGACCGTTCATTTTGGTGAGATGCTTAGATCTAAGCCTTAGAATGACTTGTTCATTTCCAATTTTTTTGGATGGCTTTATTATCATTAGATGAACAATGTTAAAAAAATAAAAAAATGATATTGGATTTATAAAGGCTAAGATCTTGAAATTTACAAAATGAATGGTCTAGATTCATTTTTGGAAGGGATTTATTTTGACAATATCTAGGGTTCAAATTGAACTATTTTTTTTTGGATGATTGATTATTGAGATGAAGAGAGTATGTGCAAAATTTGGGGTCTTACAAATACCACAAACATGATTTTCTAAAAATGTCGTTGCATTATACTATGATACAACCGTTGTATTGGATCATTGCTCGGTATATATAATTTCCACTTACAACATAAATGCGTTGTGTGATCTAAAAAAGTGACATTGAGTGTAAAATATAAAATCTAGGAGTCTACTATAAATTTTGAAAATAAAAGACTATTTTTTCATAAATTTCCCTTATGTTGGATATTCAAATAACCAAAACCCCAAATTAATCGATTCCAGATTATCACACTCTCAAAGTTGAAATATGTGACATCGATAATCCAATAACAAACTCAAATAATCAGCTTGCAATAAAATTGGAAAAAATACATAAGGAATGGAATACCCCAATCTTTTTTTTCTCTTTTTTTAAGAGGAATACCCCAATCTCAAGATGAAATCAACCACTACCAAATTTGACATAAACGACAGTTTGCCCATGGTGATTTCCTATCACCCATAGCATCATAGACATGTGATTATGGTCAGCTCTGGAAAAAAGAAAAGAAAAGATGGAAGTAACGGACATTAGAAGAAGGATGTAAAAACGTTGATTAAGCTGGTGTCTGCATCAAGGCCAGATCTCGCCTTTACAATCTTAATTTTTAAACATCGAGCAATAAAATGTTTGAGACATGCCATGATATTCCTAACATCAATTAGTAAAATGAGATTTTCTGGTTCTTCAATCAATCAACTTCAGATAACTTGCGGTCATGGGGTGAAGGACTTCACCAAGTTCTGCCTCAACCACCTCCATTTGGCCCTCAGGCAAGTGCATAAACACAACCCAGTCGCCGTCGCCGAGTGCGCTCATCACAGGCATAACGTATCCCGATGTTCCCCCCCACGGGAAATGGATTGACGCAAAAACTGGCCCCCCCCAACTGAAATCAACATCACTCACAGGAAATCGAAGCCCTGAAGAAAGCAGCACCGCAGGCACCTCAGCCTCATTCTTGAAGTAAACTGCTGGTAACATAGGCTTTGGCCAGTGCATCTCGACCCAATCCACCAAACCTTTAAAAAAATCATTATTTGTAACACCGATCAAGAATTCATGCACGAGACCAGCCACTTGGTTAAATGGCATGGCTCTCAGCTCTGAGGCCTCTGCTTCCATAAAAGGTGATGCTAACACATTGCCAAAATAACCAGACATGCCTGGTCCTAGCCTGGACCGACCATCCACCATTATCCCCAACCCACACTTTTTGTTTGAATTTCCAGCAAGTTTGGGTTTTGCCGCAAGGATTTGCCAAAGTAAGGTGGCAAAGGACTCGAGTTTTGTTCTATGTTGCCCATTAGAGCTGGCCCTGGCTTGGAGAAGATGGATATCCTTGGCTTTGATGTAGTATATGCGACTACATCGACGGTCATTAGAGAGTGTGGAGATTGGTTGGAAGGATTCCTCCATGAACATGCAATCGTGGGACACAGTATACGATCCTTGACGTCGGGGACTGAGGAGGGATCTTTCGAAACTTGGAAGCATGGAGGGGGGATTGGATTGAGCAGTTTGAGCCCATGAGATGAGGAACATGTTGGCCGAGTAAGCGTCTGCTACACGGTGATCGAAAGTGCAAGCCACCACTATGCTCCCACATTTGAGTTTTGTCAACTAAATGAGAAAAATCTTATGCGTTAGCCTGTAAGTGGAACTTTTTACATGAAGGTTGGATTGTGGAATATGTTTTGGTGAAGTTCATCAATGTGATTAAGGAAAATTTTAAAAGAAATCTGATTGGTTTGGACTCATTATCACCCCACACAGTATAAATCGACAAAGGCACACCTGAACCATCAACTATTTAACAGTTCAGTGCAGTTTGTATAGAGCCTAGGCTCTAAACATTCAAATTAGAGCCTACCTTTAAATAGTGTCGAGAAATATGTTTCACTACTGAAAATCTTTGTGATAGCCTTAAAATATATTTTCATCTGAAATTATAAAGTTTAAAGCTTCAAAAATAGTTTAGATTAAAAGATCTATGAAAACTTGAAAATTGACCATAAGAAAATGTGTTACAAAATACGCTATTACCAAAACTTGAAATCCATTTTTTTCTCATGTTCATGGATCTTGATGCCGAGATGATCAATTTGAAGATATTTGTGCAAAAAAACAACCTTGAAATTTTTGAGGCAGGCTCCAATTTGATAGTTTAGAGCCTCCGCTATATATAAAATTTACCCTTTACTTATTGGGTGTGGTTTGTATAGAGCCCAAGCTATTTTCCATCAAATTAGAGCCTACCTTTAAGTAGTGTTGAGAAATATGATTTTAATATTGAAAATCATTGTGATAGACTTAGAATATATTTTTATCTTTATTTATAAAGTTTAAAGCTTCAAAAATAGCGTAGATCCACAAATATATAAAAGCTTGGAAATCTTGAAAATTGACAGTCCAAAAATACATTACAAAATACATTATTTTCAAATTTTGAAATCCATTTTTTTCTCATGTCCATGCATTTTGATGTCATGATGATCAATTTGAAGATATTTGAGCATCAAAACAACATCTTCTAATGAAAGTTTTGAGGTGGGCTTGTTTAGAGCCTACGTTCGATATAAACTTTTCCCATACTTATTTATGAAGACACATCTCAAATAACAACCATTATAACTCGCAATCATGTCTCCTTTGATTGGCCCGGGTAGTTTTCGTCATTTGCCTAAGGTATCGAAAACAGACCGTGGATGCCTTTATTTGGTAAGCATGTACCAAACACATGGTGTACGATAAGTGTGCGCAAAATCGAACCGGAACGGAACAGTTAGAACCAGAATCGTACTAACCGGTTAAACGGACTAACCGGTCTGGTGGATTTTTATTTTTATTTTTTTAAAAAAAGGTAAAAAACCAAAAAAAGTAAAAATAAAATTTAGATTAAATGTATATTACCTTATTACCTACATTTATCCTACAAAAAACAAAAAAATTGAAACAACTTTTTACAAAAATTAATATATGTATACTATGGAGATATGCAAAACAATTTATAATTTGATATTAATTTAATTGATGGAGTTACAAAGTCCAACTAATAATGGCTAGTAGTAAGGAGGGTCTGGGTACTTTTTGTGTTTTTCCAATGTATTTTCTTTGTTTCTTTATTCAAATAAAAGGTTTGAAGCAATGGTTTAAAAACCGGATCGGGCTTTTCAAAAACCGATCCGGATCGGCGAATCGGCGATCCGGATCGGCGAATCGGCGATCCGGATCGGAATCGGGTGAATCGGTCAGAATAAAGTTTAAAAAAAATCCGAAAAAATTATTAAAATTCATTATAAATATTGGTTTTTA